GTAAAGATCTTTATATGTATATAAACAAGGCTCTTCCTTTTTTCCCTTCGACAATTTTCAAGTTTGTTTCTTTTTTTCTTTTTCTTTACGATTGCAAAGATTTTGAATGCCTAACAAAGCTCGTTCTCGATGCAATTTTGCTTAAGACTCGTGGGGGCTTTGTACGACCGGAAGCTTTCCCCGAAGTGCTTACTTAAAAAAAATTTAGATTATAATTTTTCCAAGAGTAGCCTTTGAACCGGTTCGCAAAGTTTCATGGCCTTATGTTTTAGTTACGGGTTTTGGACGTCTCCGAGCCATTTTAGGATGGTCGTAACCTTTTAAGTTTGGGTTCTACCCAATAAGCTTATTACCCCCGGTTTCGATACCCGAGTCGTCTAGGCTTACCCAAGACGATAGTCCCTAAGTGGGGTTGGCCATTGCCTTTAAGGTTCGGGCACTTCCTAATATGTTTTTGTGCCCCCGGGTTCCGACAACTTGAGTCGTCCGAGTTTTTTTTGGACGACAGTCCCCGAGTGGGGGTAATCTCTTGGATCCAGATAGAAATGGCTCTTGGGCCGATGTCCTTAAGGAACAAAATGTAGTAGTTTTTAAGAGACAAAATATGTATCTGCAAGGTAGAAACTTTCTTTTATTTCTATGCGCAACATACAGGATTGTAAATGTGTACAAGCGTCGTGTTATGGCTTAAGTGGTATATGTGGGCACGGTTCATTTGACTGGTTGGCCCTTACAATAAATCCTATCCACCGAGCCTAGATTGTTCGAGTGCAAATTTTCCTTCCTTGCTAAAATCATTATTCGAGGGTGATGGCCCCCAGTATTTGAGGTCAATCGTAGAGAGGGTTCAGATACTGTTGATGTGATCTTCGACTCCGGTGCATAACCGGTCTTTAATTCTAAGTTTAGCATGATCCATTGTTGCCTTGTTAAAAACCTTGCAGGAAAACTCATTTGTGACAAAACTGGTTCAAAGGAAAAAGAATGAAACGCGTGCTTTTAGGCCTAAGAGTTGCATTATTCCTTAGCCATTACCTGCAAGCGTTAGTCCAATTCGTAATATATGTAAAGAAAAGTAATGAATGGGGTCGTACCTTAGCAGTAGTATCGTTTTAAGTGGGTTACGTTCCAATTGTTCAGTAGCCGCTCACCGTTCATCGCTTCGAGTTGGTACTATCATCTGCCGATGATCTCGAAAATTCGATACGGACCTTCCCAATTCAGTCCCAGTTTACCTTCGTTCGGGTTCCGGGTGTTCAATGTTACCTTTATTAACACCAAGTCTCCGATATTGAATTGTCGGAGGTTGGCTCTCCAATTGTAATACCTTTCGATCTGTTGCTTTTGGGCGGCCAACCAGACGAGGGCGGCCTCGCGCCTTTCATCTAACAGTTCCAGGCTCGCACTCGTGGCCTCGTCATTTGACTCTTTGGTTGCATATCGGCACTCGAGACTCGGTTCTCCTACTTCGACCAGTATTAGCTCTTCGGCACTGTAGACCAATGAGAACGGGGTGGCCCCGGTACTAGATTTTGAGGTCATACGATATGTCCATAGGGCTTCGGGCAAAATTTCCTTCCATTTCCCTTTGGCGTCGGTCAACCTCTTCTTAAGGTTTTGGAGTACAGATTTGTTCTTAGACTCCGCTGGACGTTCCCACTAGGGAGATAGGGTGTTGATAGGATCCTTTTGATCTTAAGGTCCTTGAGAAATTTGCTCACCTTGCTACTGATGAACTGTTTCCCATTGTCGCACATGATCTCGGCCGGCATTCCGAATCAGCATATTATATGGTCCCAAATGAAATCAATAACTTCTTTCTCCCTGACTTTCTCAAATGCCCGGGCTTCCACCTACTTAGAAAAATAGTCAGTAATAAACAATATAAATTGAGCCTTACCAGGTGCTCATGGTAGGGTACCGATGATGTTCATTCCCCACTTCATGAATGGCCAGGGTGACAAGATCGAATGTAGTAGCTCCCCGAGATGGTGAATCATCGGTGCGTGCCTTTGACCTTCGTCGCATTTTCATAAGAACTCCTTTGCGTCTTTTTACATGTCGATCCAGTAGTAGCTGGCTCTGATTTTCTTACGAACTAATGATTCGGCACCCGAGTGGTTCCTATAGGTGCCTTCGTGAACTTCCCTCAAAACATATTCGGTATCTCCCAGTCCCGAACATATGGCGAGCGGGCCATCAAACGTTCTCCCAAATAAGGTGTTGTCTTTGGACAGGCTAAACCTGGCTGCCTTTTGTGCAGAGCCCTCGATTCCTTAGGATCCGAGGGCAGCTTCCCGGTCTTCAGGTAATCTATATACTTGTTTCTCCAGTCCCAGGTTAAGCTTGTTGAGTTTATCTCGGCGTGGCCTTCCTCCACTACCGATTTCATGAGTTGCACGACCGTTCCTGAGTTGAATTGGGGGTAAGTTGTGATACCATATCATAGCTCCTTTTGACAAGGTTTCTCTGAACTTTTTCAGCAAGACAGATTCGATCTCGTTATCTTCCAAGTTGTTTTCCTTGATGGCGCACATGTAGGAGGTCACATGTTCATTTGGATCAGTTGTTCCATTGTACTTAGGAATTTCGGGCATGCGGAACTTCTTTGGGATCGGCTTCGGAGCTGCGCTCGGAGGAAAAGGTTTTTGAACATACTTTTTGGAATCTAGGCCTTTCAGTATTGATGACGCTCTTGGGATTTGGTCGACCCTGGAGTTGTAGGTCTCCACCTTTTTGTTGTTAGCTTCGATTTTCTTTTCTCCTGTTTCTACCCGTTTTGTCAATTCCTCGAGCATCTTTATTATCTTAGGGTTGGTCCCAGATTCAGCCTCACTTGGCCCATCTGTGGCTGGTTTGTTTCTGGAGTGTTTTCCCGGGATGGTTCGGGCTCAACTCTACTGGAAGCGCGACTTTGGTTCTGCAATTGGTCTATTGCTACCTGCTGAGCGTGTAGCATCTCAAAGATCACCCGTAAGTTGATCCCATCTCTTTCACCGTCGTGTGTATTTGGGGCTACCGATCGGACTCCCCCGTGGACGCTATTCTCAGGATCGGTAGGCAAATTTGCGTTAATGGACACATGTGAGTTGGTGTCGATTTGGTCTGCGACCGGAACTCCGTTGGGATTGGCAAGGGGCACCTTGTTACTAGGTACCATATTGTTGTTCCCGCCATGGTGTCTAGACTCAGCATCCATGTTTAGAGGGGTAGATTGAGAGTTCGACATTTTAAACTTTGACCTAAAATTAAAGACACTTCAAAGAACAAGTGTGTAGTAGGGTGTGTTATGGAAATTTGTATCAAATTGCCACTATTATCCTTAGCGTCATGGTGGGCGCTAGACTGTTTATCCTAAAAAATGGATAACAATTAAATTTGTAAGTGCTTTTAAGCATACCTGGATTAATTCAATACAAACGATAAAGATTGCTAGAATGAACAGATAAGAAATATAATAAATTATCAAACCACTTGAAAATAAAGGGGGAATGATTCTGTACTCGAGGGCAGCCTCAATGAGGTATCTTCTTCGAGCCGGGTTCACAAAGACCAGCATTGATGAACAAAAGTAAGAACAAAAAAAATAGTAGTATATTGCCTTGGTATGCGTTTGTTACAATATGTTTAATGAATAATCAGACTCCTCTTTATATAGTAGGAGAGTTTTACCCTAAGTACAATTGTATAAAAGGTAAAAAATCTTATGTTCAACTAATCACCTATACGTGCCGAGATCCACGCCGTTATATCCGGCCGGTCGCGGATATTACGGCTTACTGTTGGCCGTGCTTGGTTGCCTGACAACGTTCTCCGAATCCTTTTAGGACTTGGACCAATCCCGGATCATGGCCCTGATATTCCCGAGGACAGGCGTTATGCCCCCGGACTTTGACTTGATGAGACCCTTGCCTCGATTCCGGTCCCTTATCATCATGCCTCTAGTTCAATTTATCTTATCGGAGGCCGGGTTATATCATGAGCTCGATTTTATCCGTATACAATTAGGTAAGCTTTTCTAAAAGCTATACACGATATTTAAAATTTTGCAATAAAACTATATAGAGGCTACCATTTAAAAAGCAGGGTTTAACTAGGTCCAATTATTTTCTTAGAAAAAACATAAAGCTCAGTGTAGACGTCAATACATTATGCTTCTGTATAGGGTTCTTCAGCTAATAATCTATACAAAAAATTATAATAAAGCATTCGATTACTTTGGCCGGGAAGACTTTTTTCTTTTAGTGAGTAACCTAAATAGAATCGATATATATTATTTTTAAGAATTTATGCTATTTTATAATTTGTATTTAATTATTTAATTATATTATTTAATACTTTTTTATAATTTTTAAAAAAAATTATATTCATTAATATAGGATACACTTTACTAGTACTCCCTCAGTTTCAAATTAGACGGGTTACTTTCTTTTTTAGTCTGTTTAAAAAAAATTGACACATTTCTAAATTTGGAAATAATTCAATTTTAAACTCTTCATTTTACTCATTTTACCCCTTAAACTTTTAAAATTATAAGTTTCAAAAGTCTTATTCTTTTTTGTTAAATTTCGTGGCGAGTCAAACTAACTTATCTAAATTGAAACGGAGGGAGTTGTAATAAAAATGTGAGGGGAGGAATAAATGGAAATTGACAGAAGCAAAGAAAGTGACAAATAAAGAAAAAGAAAGTTAACAAGTTGCAAAGAAAAAGACAGAAGCAGTTGTTTTTGTTGGTGTTGATATCTCTCAACGGTCCAATGGCAGGGGCTGAAAGTCTGAAGTCTGAAAGCTGACAAATGAAATCCGTAATTGGAGTGCCACTTATTTAGGAGGAAAATACTTCAGCCCCAGGTAACTGACAAAAACAATGGCTTAGTATGTAAATAAGAACAATTTGGAGGGGAAAGTAGAGCAAGTGTCATCCATAAGATATTGGTAAGCACAACAATAAAATAAAGAGAGAGGGGGGG